ATATTCAGGGTTCCATTTCCTGACTCTATCCTGCCTAATCAAGAAAAGTCACCAATAACACAGTGATAACAAACTGCCAAGTAGGTCAATTTGTTTATACTGGTCATTTACATTCTGTATATATGAGAAAAGGGGTACAGTTTAAACAACAAAACCAAAGCACTGTTAGAACATGTTTGTACAAAGCTTAAGAAGACAATCATCTTGTTCTCAAAGCAATAATTGATGTAGCAACTTTGAGACTTGTGATTTAAATCAAAGGTGCTGAAGAATGATTATGAATCATGCAATTAAGCTACCAAAGCAGGATGTTGCTTAGAGAAAAACCATTCACAGCACCATAAAACTGTCAAAAATAAAAACAGTAACTATCATCAAAACTAGAATATATTCCTCTGATTTTACAATTCATTAATTAGCAGAAGTGAATTATAGTCTAAGCTTGTTTATTGATTCTGGGTTTCTGGCACCACACCTTTATCTATAATGACCTAAAGTTAGTCTGATTTTCAAATCCCTTTCAATTCTGAGTCTATGCAACAAGCTAATGATACCTGTTTACTTATTTTGGATGCTCTGCTTTACATACTCTTGCAATAATAGAATAAGCACTTACTTCAAATAGAATAATTCATAAGTCTGAAAAAAGGGCAAGAACCGGTTTTTTTTTAAACAAATCTTCCACAACTTAAAATGAGGCTACATTCACCCTAACGGTGATACTTTTTCATCTCTCTTAGAACAGCCTTAAAGACTGAGGTGTCTGAGGGTTGGAGGGTTAGTAGGTGGTACAGCACTTGCAGGAGACCCTGGATTTGACTCCCAACACTGTCCAAGAAAATAAGACTGGGGTGTCAGTTCATTTGAGAGTGGATTTGATTTAGAACAAGGTGGATGCGTCCTCTTCTTGCAGGATTCATCTTACAAAAACTGTTCCAAAGCAATCCCCAAACATTTCTAGCAACACCTCTAAGGAAAATGCGTAGGTTTTCCAGTGATGGCAAACTTTGGAAATTAATGATCATTTAAATGCGTAATAAGAAAACAGCCAGCACTCATTGTTGGCAAGCATTAGGCAATAATCTCTCAATCCTTACAATCTTGTAAATTAGGGACATATGTGAGGACTCAGCACACAGGAGTTTAGCAAATTGTTCAAGTTTTCTCAGTTAATAAATGACTTGAACCCAGGCATTCCAGCTTCAAAGCTATCATACCTAATATTCCCGTGGTATATTTATTCCCTGGTGTCCTTGTTTAAATAACAGTCCCATTATAAGTCGCACCCTTCTCGCAAACTCAACACCACCAAGTCAATATTAAGGCGCCCCCGCAAGCTCACATTGGAGAAGTTTCTCCTACAGTCCTGAACCACTAACTATAAATGTATTTTAAAGAATATAAGAACTTAACAAGTACCTGAAATTTCTCGAGATTTGAGGAGAGGGTGTGTGGGGATCAACTGAAAATTTCTCTGTCCCGGAGCAAAGTGCTGCGAAGCTAGAGCACCACCAGCTGCGGTCCCAGCGCGTCCCGCTCCGAGGTTCACCCCAGGAGGCAGCCCACCCGCCAGCGCCCAGCCCGCCCTTCCTACTCCGCGCGCGGAAATGGCACCCAGCCGGTTCTCCCCAAACACACCTGCCCTGAGCCCGCCAGTGGGGTCCCTCCACCTGGCCCGAGCGGTACTGAGGCCCCTCCCAAGCCAGGTTCCCCTGCCAGCTCGGCAGTCTACACGTTTACCTTCGGCTCGTGGCTAGAGGGAAGCGCCACACCACACCACAGCTGCGCCACACTTGGCGGGGCTCCTCACCGCGCCACCCGCCCCCAGCGGCGCCCGCCGAGCTCAGTGCCCCG